GTGTGTCAGAGGCAGTGCAGTTGGCGCAGGATAGAGCAGGGTTTAGGGCTGTTGTACGTAGGGTTGCTATGAGTCGCAAACGACTCAATGGCACATAACAACAACAACAGGGTTACTATGAGTTGTATCTGATGGCACCCAACAACAAAACCAGCAGACAGAGAAAGATGTTTTCTGCCTGTTTGTTCTTCACAACTATCAGGCCACAGAGTTTCTAGATAGTTTGCTCTTTATAAATGAGGGAACTGAGAATTCAGAAAGCTAAATCATCTACCAAATACAAAAAGAGTAGTTAAGTGATGGAGGGAGGAGTCCTTTCTGGGTGTTAGACTCCCGAACCCAGGGTTGTTCTGTTGTCCAAAGTGCTTGCAGTGGGAAAGATAATAATACCTGCTTCTTCATTGCCAAGACGCCAGCTTCTGACTTCACATTTCTGAAACATCAATACATCGAGAAGGCAACATGTCCATAACAGTTTTCATGTCAGTGGGAATTAATAGTTTTTTTAAGAAAACTAATATTTCAGGCATTAAAGAAAACAAAAATCCTTACCCCTGGGCCAATAGTAAAAACCGTGATAGATGGAGAAATGACTGAAATTATCAATTATTTCATTTTGTTTGGATCCATCAATCAACACTAGCAATCAGGAGAAATGGAGATATATTGTATAAGGAAGGAGATCTGGAGGCATATAGGATTAGGAAAATCTACTGTCAGGGACTTCTCCAAATTCCTGAAGAGCAATGTTGTCAGTCCAACGACTAATATGTGCCTAATTCAAGCCATACTCTTTTCACTCACGTGCTGTGCATTTGAGAGCTAGACAATGAATAAGGATGACAGAAGAATTGATGCCTTTAAGCTATAGTGTTGGAGAAGAGTAATTAATGTCCTATGGACTGTCAGAAAAATCAAACAGATATATCTTGGAGAAAGCATCACCAGAGTGCTCCTTGGAGGCAATGATAGTGAAGTTTCATCTCACATACTTTGGGCATGTTATTAGGACAGGCTAGCCCTTGGAAAGGGAAGAGGAAGACCCTCAGTAAAATGAATTACTACAGAGTCTGCAGCAATGAGCTCAAGTGTCAGGGATGATAATGCTGGCACAGGATAGGATAGGGTTCAGACCTGTTGTTCATAGTGTTGTCGTGAGTTGTATTCAACTTGATGGCATGTAACAACAACAGTATTTTACGAGGGTCTTGTCAGGACACCCTCTGGCCACCAAGTGGTTCTGGGACTCCAGAAGGTTCACTCTAACCCCTGGGGCCTCCAAAAGGGGAGTAGATTCTCCTTTGGCCTATTTACTAGCTCATGTTGGGGACCCTCACCTGCCTTTAACAGCAGGAACCCTTCTGAATAAAGCTGCAAAGTCACACCCAAAAATATATAATTTTTACTTCTTTATTTAGAGATTCAATTCTATTTAGAGATCCAAGTCTCTTCTTGGAGGCTAGGATTTTGAAGCTCCACCTCACTAACCTTGGGCATGTGGCCAGGAGAGATTAGTCCTTGGAGAAGGACATCATGTTCCGAAGGGTGGATGGACAGCACAGGAGAGACCCTGCATGAGATGGATTGATACAGTAACTGGGCAATGGGAATGGGGGTTGGTGTGTCAAAATTAGTAAGACTGGCTCAGGACAGAGCAGGGCTCGGAGCTGCTGTGGCACATAACAACAATAACATTCTACGGCAGGTTTGGAAGAAGGAGTGGCATCTACTTCCTATATAACATGCCTCCAGACACTCTAAGAAATTTGATAAATGTTGGTAGTTGTAGAGGGGATTCAGCCCTTTTGTTCATAGGATTGCTATGAGTTGTGCTTGACTTGAAGGCAATCAACAACAACAACAACACTTAGAGAGTTGCCCATTCATTTGTATGTTTCTATATAGAAAAGACATCATACTTGGAAATTTAGAGGGTTAGTGAAAGAGAGGAAGACCTCCAAGGAGGTGGATTGCCACAGTGACTGCAGCAATGGACTGAAGTTAGGGCAGAGATCCTAGGATGGCACAGGGCAGAGAGGGTTCCGAGCTGTTGTTCACAGGCTTGCAAGGAGGTGAGGTCCTTTCAATGGCACCTAACAACAACTGATCTCTGTTTGCTCCTCTTTTTCACCTGACTGTATCTGATCGATGCATTTCCTTTTTACAGAATCCTTTAACTTTAGAATCTGTGAAAAAACTAATTGCGGATGGTAATAAAGAAGAACTACAGAAATGCTTTGGGGCACGGATGGAATTTGGAACAGCTGGGCTCCGAGCTGCGATGGGACCAGGCATCTCTCACATGAACGACTTGACCATCATCCAGACTACACAGGTATGCATGTGTTTGTAGTTCTCACTGACCCGTACAACCTCCCTGCCTCCTTTTGTACTTGACAGACCTAACTAGTTTTGATTGTTGACGTGTCTGCATGGACTATCTTAGCTCCAGGAGTCACCACTGTGTACTCCCTCTGGTAAATTGTACAAAGTTTCTAGAATTAGCACTAGCTTCAGAACTCATTCATTCACCATCTAATAGATTTCTTTAGTGCTTATTTAAGTGTCAAGGAGTTCTAGTGGTCTAGTAGGTAGAGAGTTGCTCTGCCAACCTAATGGTGGGGAGTTCAAATCCAACATTTGCTCTGTGGGGAAAAGATTGGTAGTCTCCTTCTGTGTGATTTACAGCCTCTGAAAACCCTGTGGAGGGGCAGCTATGAGTCACCTCAGACACGGTGAAGGAGTGAGTATTTTAAGTCTCAGGGTTTGGTGATATAACAAACACCAAACTCATCGCTAGCAAAACTGATGCCAATTTATAGCAAACCTAGAAAATGGGATAGAACCACCCCATAGAGTCCCCAGGGTGGTACTCTTTATGGAAGCTGACTACCATGTCTTCTCTTGAGGAGCAGCTGCTGTTTCGAACTGCAGACCTTTTGACTGGCAGGTACATGCCTAACCACTGTGCCACCAGGACTCCTTTTTCTGATATAATGATGACTAAAATAGATATTAAAAGGCCAAAGAAAAAAGTATGTCGATTAAAATAGTGACTACAGCAATGGGTGTGTCAGAGATAATGAAGATGACACAAGATAAGACAGAGTTCAAGTCGATTATTCATAGGGTCGCCATGAGTCATACTCCACTCAACTCAACTGCACCCAATAGCAACAACATCAAAATAGATGAGAGTCTCTCATGGAGTTTTTGTTCCAGTGTGAGTTGATTAACTAAAATGACTAGTTATTAGGATTTTTTTTTAACTACTTTGCTGTTGTTAACTAACTTTAAGCTGATTTTGAATCAGAGTGACTCCCTGTCTCAAGAATAGATTAACAACTCCACAGGGTTTTTATGAAGCAGGATACCTGGCTTATCTCCAGAGTCACCACTAGGTGATAGAACAGCTCACCTTTCAGTTAGCAGTCTAGTGCCTGGGCTTTCATGCCACCCAGGAACTCCAATACAATCTTAGATTTACATAAACAAAAGAGTTGACATATGCCTCCTCTCTCCTTGCATCAGTTTCCCCTACTGAAAACACATTGCATTTGTGTGATACATTAATACAACTTATGAACTAATTGCTACATTGTTTGTTGTTAAGGGCTGTTGAATTGAGCACAACTCATAGTGACCCTATGAACAAAAGACCTGAAATCCTGTTCTATAACTATTGTCCTTTCTCTAAGTTCGTACTTTCTGGAGACATGTTGTTTAGGAAGTGGATGCCACTCCTGCTTCCAAACCTAAACCTGGTCTTAATCTAGGACCTCCACCAAACACTGTCCACCATGGGTGACCATTATGGCATTTGACACCCCAGTAGCACTGTGTTCATTATCACAGCAACCCCAAGTTACCTCAATAGCATGAACTGGCAGACCACTGCTGTACCACCTAGAACAATGTTCATTCTACCATTAAAACCAGGCACAAGGGCTACAAACCTGAAGGCCTAACTGACTTTTCAATACCCAGGCCTGTGCCCCTGGCCCTGATTGGCTCCAAGCAAGTCTTCCAGCCAACAGCTCATTGTTAGCCAAATCCAGCAAATTAAATCAGCTTACACACAGTTGTGAGCGAAATACAAACAGCACAACAGTCCACACTCAACCCTCAACCAAAACAAGAAGAACCCACCTTTCAAAATCCAAAATCCAATGGCTTCACACATGAGCCTCCAAAGTGAAATTGCTAACATTATTATTATTATTATTACTAACTTAAGGTCCAGTCTGCATTACAATAGGGCTCACTTTTTGGCTGTATAATTCTGTGCATTTGGCAAATTAATAATGCCACATGTCACCAATCTCACTATCATTGAAGACCTTCACTTCCCTGAACATCCTGTCTGCTCCTCCTATTCCCCTGCCCGGCTCCTGAACCACTGGAAACCCCTGGTATTTTCCACCATCTGTATAATGCTGCCTTATATCGTGTTAAAGGTTTATGGTTCAGAATGGCTTCCTTATCCATTAACTTACTTTGCCATGTGGATGGGTGGGAATATGCAAATAGGGTGTGTTAGCCTATCCACAAGGGGATTGGCTAGTCTTGCCATTAAATTGAGTGAATCCACCAGCAGAATTAGAAGATCTTCCCCACCAGCAAAGAAGCAGCAAGAGGATGTAACGTGTCCTTTGGACCCAGAGAGTCTTGTACTAGCTAGACCTAGGGGCGGCAGCAGCAGTGGCCAAAGGAGAGGACTAGAGACCCAATAAGAGGCAGAGCTGACCTCGGGGCTGCCAGAGAACCAGAGCTAAGAGCCCTTGCCCAAGTTTGTTGGACAACTGGAGGACTTGGGGAGGGAGGTGACGGGGAGCCACAATTGGTAGAACTGAGAACTTTGTGAAGCTGACTTAAAGCCATGAGACTCAAGGCTGAGGCACCTGAAAGCACATTTCTGAAGCTGTCCTGAGTGATTGTATTCTGCTACTGATCTGAATTATATGATTCTGTGTGGTTTGTAAGCTATCCATCAGATTTTGGACCCAGGAAAGTGGTAAGATTAGTGTTGAGATGAGTAGAAAGAGGTGTAGGAATTTGGGGGATATGCCTGACCAATGAGAATTGGTTTTGTGTTGTTGATGGGGACAGTTCCCCTCTGTGAAGTTGGTAAAGGTCAGATATCACTGTCCCTGGACACCCTTTGCTCTTGTTACGCCTTGTGTAGAATGCCACATTATTGGAACTGGCTGACTGTCTTGGTCTTCTGATAGGCAGAGGGTCAAAGAAAGAGAAGAAAGCCCTCCACTAGATGGATTGACAAATTGACTGTAACTATAGGCTTGAGCATATTAGAGATTGAGAGGGTGTTGCAGGAGAGGAAAAGGCTCAGAGCTGCTGTTCATAGATTTGTTATGAATCCTAATCCTCTAAACAGCACCTTACAACAACAGATTTTCCATGGATATATAGACACAAATCTTGAAAAGCGGTTATGTTTGCCAGAATTACCAAAAGCCTATTCTATTCTAGTTTTACTGTACAATAAAGGCTGAAATTGTTGGAGAACTTTCTCGGTTTAATTTGTGAGTTTTGTTTTCAGGATCCTACACCTAATTTTAAGAATAGAAATGGAAGACTTTGGCAAAACAGAAGGGCTGCCATTCAGTATTGAGAGTACTATTTCTGAGAGAGATGCACTAGAACAGATGATTCTGTTTCTTCAACTATTTAGGCTTGTTTAAAATGAACGTCATTTTAATTCTAACAAAGGAAAGATGGGACAAATTGGCTAATGAATACTGCATATGCTTTATAAATAAGCCCCAGTGCAAAAGAGACCCCTGGGGATATTCTAGCTGAACTCCAATAAAACACTGCCATGGAAACTACTGGTCAGATAACTCCTGTTAAAGCGATGGGGATCCCAGAGATCATGGAAGGAAATCTTGGAACAGGATGAGCCTAGGAATCTCATTCCAGGTCGTGGATAACATAGAAATGACTACACTGGATCAGCTCACCTGTTTTAATAACAACAGAGGATGACAGAGCACCCACAGCATACACGGTTGTTTCGAACAAGAAATGAATCTGCAGTTTGGATAGAACTCATGGGGATGCCTCATCTCTGCCCCACTTGGCATCAGCTGGGGCAGGGTCATCTGAAGGCTCATTGGCTCACATATCTGGCAGCTAGAATCAGCTCTGGCTGGGAAGCCTGTGTGTGGCATGGGCTTCCTTACAGCATGGTGGCTGGGTTCCAATGGAGGACATCCAGTGAGAGAGAGCAAGTCAGGTGGAAGCAGTGTTGATTTTATTGACTCAATCTTTAAAGTTGTGTATAGCCATTTACTTTCATTGTGTTCTGTTTAAAGGAATTATTAAAAGGAAGTCAGGAAGGTTGGCTTATATTCAAAGAGAGGGTGTAGAGACACCCATCTCTTAACAGACATCTGTTACTATCTCATTGTAAGAACATAAGGAACGGAGCATTTGTGCAAAATGTAATCTGTCACTCCTGTCTATTAAGTCCAGAGTTTATAAGGGATTCCACATCAACACCTATGACAGCTGCAAGTCAAGAAATTAAGAGATACGGTTGCATTGGGGAAATCTGATGTCAAAGACTTCTTCACAGTGCCAAAGAGCAAGGAAGTCCATTTAAAGAGCAACATGTGCCTGATTCAAGCTATTTCTTCAAGTAATTTTCAGTTGTTTTGGTTGCATCTGCAAGCTAGCAGTGGGTGACAAAAACTGCAGATCTGATGCCTCTGAAATGTGGTGTTAGGGAGTGTATTCAGTATCCCGTGGACGACCAAAAGAACAAGAACACCTAGTCTTGGAGCTAGAGCAAGTAGGCACTCCTTAGATGCAAGGATGGTGAAATTTTGTCTCACATACTTTGGTCATGTTGTCTAAAGGGATCAGTCATACTGGGAAAAGTGAGGGTGAGGAGAGAAAGAACCTCAATGAGATGAACTGAGAGAGTGACAGTGACAGTGGGCTTGAGCATGGCTGAGATTAGGAGGGTGGCACAGGAGAGGGCAAGGTATTGATCATAGGGTCCCTGTGAGTTGTAGTCAACTCCACGGTGGTAAAGGCAAAGATCTAGCATTACCTGGTCAATTTAAGGGGGACATGGCAAGCCCAAAGAAGAAGCCGGAAATGGAAAATAATATAGTGACTCCAGCTGGTGAAAATAATCACATCCTTGTAACAGCATTATCTTCTGGGAACCAAAGGAATTGCACCGGGAAGTGGCCAATCTCATGATACTTCCCGCATGTATAACATGGATGAAAGAAGAGAAAGCTTCCCTTTTACGCATTTCAAACCCACCAGCTGCTTCATAGGAGAAGGATGGGCAATCTCCTC